ATTTGTCACTTAAAACCTGAGCCTGATGCTCCATTTGTACACTGCTCACCCCAAAATGGGAGCTGCCTCATTTGATCCTGTTAAGCCATGTGGGCAGGGGTGAAGGTACACAACTCACGGTGTCATCTGGCACCATGTGGCACAGGGCATCACCAGGCAGTAGTGAGACATGCACGTTAAGAATGAGGAAACAGGCCAGGCGCGGTGGCTCAAGCCTGTAATCCCAGCACTTTGGGAGGCCGAGACGGGCGGATCACGAGGTCAGGAGATCGAGACCATCCTGGCTAACACGGTGAAACCCCGTCTCTACTAAAAATACAAAAAAACTAGCCGGGCGAGGTGGCGGGCGCCTGTAGTCCCAGCTACTCGGGAGGCTGAGGCAGGAGAATGGCGTAAACCCAGGAGGCGGAGCTTGCAGTGAGCTGAGATCCGGCCACTGCAGTCCAGCCCGGGCTACAGAGCAAGACTCCGTCTCAAAAAAAAAAAAAAAAAAAAAAAAAAAAGAATGAGGAAACAATCCCAGCACTTAGTGAGGCTAAGGTGAGTACATCTCTCGAGGTCACGAGTTCAAGACCAGCCTGGCCAACATGGCGAAAGCCTGTCTCTTCTAAAAATACAAAAATTAGCCAGGCGTGGTGGTGCACGCCTGTAATCCCAGCTACTCGGGAGGCTGAGGCAGGGGAATCACTTAAACCCGGGAGGCACAGGTTGCAGTGAGCTGTGATTAGGTTGCTGCACTTCAGCCTGGGTGACAGAGAGAGAGACTCTGTCTCAAAAAAAAAAAAAAAAAAAATGAGGAAACTCGGCAAGGGTCACCTGGTCTGCCTCCTCTCAAGCCCAGCTATTGCAAACTATCTGTGTTCCCTCCAATCACTACATCGGGCCACTCTGGGCTGCCTTTGTGTGTGAGCTGCCTCTGCCTGGAATAGTTTTGCTCCTCCTCTGCAATGCCCTCAGCTATTCATCATCTTCCCAACTCAGCGTCAGCTTTTCAAAGTGGATTGCTTCCAATTTTTTTGTCCCCCACTCACTAGCAATTCCAAAACCTCGCTGTTTGTTTGCATTTCTGTCTCCCTCTGCTTGACTACGAGCCCCATGATGGCGGGAATTGCATCTCAATGATCTCTGGGTCCCCCGGCCTAACAGACTCAGTCACAGGTGTCAAAAGAAAAGGAAAGTTCAGGACCTTTCAAATTCATTATGCCGAGGGGAAAAGTTCAGCCCTGGAACCCGAGTCAGGTAACATGGCTCTCCTCTCCTCTCCCCTCCTCTCCTCTCCCCTCCTCTCTTTTTTGAGCCAGAGTTTCACTCTTGTTGCCCAGGCTGGAGGGCAGTGGTGTGATCTCCGCTCACTGCAACCTCCGCCTCCCGGTTCAAGTGATTCTCTTGCCTCAGCCTCCCGAGTAGCTGGGATTACAGGCAACCCTCACCACACCTGGCTAATTTTTGTATTTTAGTAGAGACGGGGTTTCGCCAGGCTGGTCTCAACATCCTGACCTCAGGTGGGTGATTCGCCCGCCTCAGCTTCCTAAAGTGCTGGGATTACAGGCGTGAGCCACTGCGCCCAGCCAAGGAGTTATTATTTGTTATGACTCTGTGGGTGCACTGACCTCAGATCAACAGCTCTGCCTCGTGGTGTGGATTGTGGCTATGCATGCAGCTGCAACCACGTGGAGTTCCGCTGGGACAAGGCTGGGGTAGAAGAGGGGACAGACTGCTGGAGATGGGGCAGGAGGGCTGGGTGTGGTGTGCCTGGGACAGATGAGAATCAGTGTCCCAGACCCAGGAGTGAAGGGAAGGGGCATGGAGGGTGGTGGGAGCATTGTGATAAAGGCAACAGATTGGGGGGACAGTTCTGAACCAGAAAGGGAGCTAACTTCCAGACGAAGCACTTCTACCTGGACAGGACAACGCAGAAATGGCCTGGAACCCACGATCATGCTATGGCACTAGGGATGACAGGGGACTCCTCTCCTGGGTTCCTTCTGCAGAAGTTGTGTATGTAGCTGCTCATCTAAGTGTGAAGATAGGAGGGTCCCTTTTATGGGACTTCAGGAGGAGCCTAGAAGGTGCAAGCAGTTGGTGCTGGCCTTTGGCTGAGGCCTCTGGGTTCTCTCCATCAAGGCCTCTCTTCCTCCACAGGGTATAGGGACTTCCTCTCTGCAAGGCAACTGGATTTCAAGAGAGTGGAAGCTGCCTGTGCCCAGAACTGACACAGCACCATTTCAGCTGCATTGTGTTAGCAAAAGCAAGTCACATTCAAGCCCACATTCAAGGCTCGGGGGAACAGAATCTACTTCTTTTTTTTTTTTTTTGAAACAGGGTCTCACTCTCTCACCCAGGCTGGAGTGCAGAGGTATGATCATAGCTCACTGCAGCTTCAGACTCCTGGGCTCAAAGTGATCTCATCTCAGCCTCCTGAGTAGCTGGGACTACAGGCGTGCACCACCACACCTGGTTAATTTTTAAAAAAAATTGTAGAGACAGGGCTATGTTGCCTAGGCTGGTCTCAAACTCCTGGGCTGAAGCAATCCTCCTGGCTCAGCCTCCCAAAGTGCTGAGATTACAGGCAGAATCCACCTCTTGATGTAAGAGAAACGTGTGCACAGGGAGGTGAGAAATTGTTGGTGGCTAGCTTTAAAGACACTCTTCCAATCTGAATAGTTCTTATTACAGTACCTTTATCTTCATGAAGGATTTAATTCACTCCAAAATGCTTGGCAAATTCCTGGTTACCTGCTTTACTCATAAACAAGTTTGACCACATGCTACAGTCTCTCTTTTTCCTAAGCTACTGTTCTTTCTTCTTGCTAGCTGCCTGCCTTTGAGTCTGCAGATCAAGTCCTTTGTTTGCTAAAACAATTGGGGTGGGGAGGTCTTTACAGCCCCTTTTGACAGGAAACCTGTTTGGAGTCTAATATGGAGAAAGAAATCCCTATTGTGCAGAAACATGGATACTTCCCATATTTTCTACAGGAATATCACATAGGACATTAGGGTTTCATCAGTTAATCTGTGTATCTGTTGTGGTAGGGAAATTACTGCAAAAAATTTCAGTGGCTTCACCAATTACAGTTTAATTCTAAGCTTGTGTAACAGCCCAACGTAGATCCAAGTCAATTCAGGGACTCAGCTCCATGCAGTCATTCAGGGGCCCAGGGTGGTCACAATGCTACCATCTTCAGCCCATGACCTCCAAGGTCATTTTGGGCACTGACATCATCAGCTAGTGGAGGGCAAACAGCATGTGAGTTTACAGATGGGGCCTAGAAATGCCACACATCACTCCTTTTGCATTTTATTGGCCACAACTTGGACATATGGCCAAATCTAACTCTGTTGGAAACCAAGAAATGTAGTCCAGCTGTGTGCCCAGGAAGGAGAGGAAGCAAGTTCCATGACGGACTAGCAGTCTAAGCCCACACATCTGGAACCACATACATTACACACATACTGACAGTGTTACTTGTGCCTTTTAGCACACAGATCACACTCAAGCCTGGGAGAAGGAGGGCGAGTGCCTCAAGAAAATTATAGGAGTGTTTAGCAGGAAGCTTGAGTGCATTTGCCCCAACTTTCCCTGGAAACAAAGAGCATCTTTCCAGACTTGGACACAGTGCCATCTGCTGCTCAACGAAAAGCAGAGAGTTGGACTGGACTATGGTTGGGCTTGGGGTCAGAGTAACCAGGTTAGAAGAATCAGAACTTAGTACTCTAGAATTTTCATTGGTTTGGTAACCACAGATTAGATGAAATTCGTGCAGCAGCCACTTCTATTTAACAGACACCAAACAAAAATTGTGAGGAGGAAGGGAGAGGAGTTGTATGGTTGGTTTTGGCCTTCTGTGGAGTTAATTAATTAAGGCAGCTGAGTATCATGGAAGGCAAGACTGGGTCCTAGGCCCCACTTTGCCATTATCTGGGCTGCAGTTTCCTTAGTTCTAAAATGAGGGGACAGGCCCAGCACAGTAGCTCTTGCCTGTAATCCCAGCACTTTGGAGAGCCAAGGCGGGAGGATTGCTTGAGTCCAGGAGTTTGAGACCAGCCTGGGCAACAATAGCAGGACCCCATCTCTATAAAAAAAATTTTTTTAAATAGCCAGGTGTGGTGGCACGTACCTGTAATCCCAGCTACTCAGGAGGCTGAGGCAGGAGGATTGCTTGAGCCCAGGAGTTGAGGTTGCCATGAGCTATGGTGGTGCCACTGTATTCCAGCTTGGGTAACAGAGAGAGACCTTGTCTTAAAAATAATAATAAAATTTTAAAAATAATGAGGGGACAGGACTTTTCATGATTCCTTCCAGCTGGGAGCTCCAATCCAGTTCCATAGCCATATGTGACCATTTTCAAGATGGCAATTGAAGCCATATAAACACATCGGATCCCTCAAGGAGTGTTTCTTGTTTTGTTTTCTTAAAAAAAAAAAATCTAAATCCATGTAAGTTCCACATCAGAAATATCTATTACTCGCTTTTTTTTTTTTTTCTGTCAATAAGTTTATTGTCTGTATCTGAAAAATCCTCATAGAAAATTGTTTGGTTTGACCGAGCGTGGTGGCTCACGTCTGTAATTCCAGAACTTTGGAAGGTCGAGGCAGGCAGATCACAGGGTCAGGATTTTGAGACCAGCCTGGCCAATACAGGGAAACCCCTTCTCTACTAAAAATACAAAAAATTAGCTGGGCGTGGTAACGGGCGCCTGTAAATCCCAGCTACTCAGGAGGCTGAGGTAGGAAAATCACTTGAACACAGGGAGGCGGAGGTTGCAGTGAGCCGAGATCGCGCCATTGCACTCCAGCCTGGGTGACAGTGCGAAACTCCGTCTCAAAAAAAATTTAAACACCTTCTTTTTGGGGCTTCTTTTCATAGACTGGATTCTCTCATACAGCGGCATAAGCTTTCGTGTATGTCTCCTCCATCATGTCTGGAGTTACATTGTTCTTTATGTATTGAAAGAACTGTTTCTTATAAGTATCTTCATCCTTCTCCATTAAGTAGCACATGTAATCTGCGACATTCTAGCCCCTGATGTACTTCCGGTGTACTTCAGCATTAACTTCCTTGTTTTCAGAATCATAACCAGGGAATCGTTTGGTATTGTGAGCGATAGACAAGCCTCCATCCACAGCTCCCTTCAGGGCGCCAAAAGCTTTATTGCCAGTGGTAGTTCTGCCAAGGCCTGCATCCAAATAGCAGGTAAAGGCACCTGGCCGACCATCAATGCTTTCCACATTGTATCCATCGCCAGTCACCTCCACTTGGCCTTCATAGATCTTGTCCATGAGAAGCCGGCGGGCCAGCAGCAGGCCAGGACAAGACGCTGCAGCGTCATTTGTCAGGCCAACCTTCACACTGCAGTTTGGCAGTTCGTGTGCATATGCTGCGCAGACTATCATATCCCCCTCAATACAGGCAAAAGCGATCTGACAAATGATAGCTCTGTTTGTTACACGAACTATCATCCTGTATTTGGGTGTGCTGTATTTATTTTTATCCTGTATCACCAAGCGTTTCCAGGCGTAGTAATCCGTTTTACCCTCCGTCGTCTTCTAAATTTCACTTGGTATCTCTTAAAGTCGGCCTTGTTCTTCACAACTTGAGCACACCCCCTCCTGTGGATCAGAGACCTGTGTCTGTGGCTCGACAGAGACCTGCAGGCCCATGACTTGCACTTAAAGAAAAGTAAAGATGTAGGCATTTTTAAATGAACAAGCAGGACTTGTTGATTGGAGGTGGATGATGAGAGAAGAGCGTTTCTAGCTTGGCACAGCTGGGTGGCTGAGGAAGTCCCACAGCTAATGAATAACCGTTAGCATTCATACACTCTGGTGCAACCATACGACTCAGGCGTGTTCTAATTTCTTCACATAGCCTGTCTCAATTTTCATCACAACTCCTGTGGAGAGTACTACTATTGGCCCATTTTATAGAAAAAAACACACACACAGGAAATACTGATGGAAGAACAGATGAGAAACAGGGAGGAAGGCAGTGTGGCAGACAAACTGTCCACCAAAGTTTGGTGTTATGCTCCCTCCCATACTGTAGACTTATTGCTGGCATATGTACATTTCATAAGGGTGATGCTAAAATTTAGATATGCCCTTCTGCACCCTCTTTTCTGTTCCCTTCTCCTGTCTGGATGATGCCAAGGCAATCCTGGAAGCCGCCTATTGAAGACAGCAGTCCTCAGTCTGGACCTTTGAACGACTTTGCAGAGCAGACCTCTCATGCCCCAATTTCACCCCCTACCTTCTGCCCTAGAACACCTACTTTGGATATGAGATGAGAAATAAGTTTTTATTGGTTAAGCCATTAAAATGTGGGAGTATCTTTGTTACAGCAACAATACTGAGTGAACATCTTGCTACATCTAATTAAAACTGGGATGTGAGGTAAAGACAATAAATACTAGACATGTTGAATTTGAAATCTTGCAGGACAACCAAACGGGAAAGGCCTAGTAGGTAGACAGTGAGAGATGGGGTGGAGATGAAGAGAGTCATCGTTAACACACAAATTCACTGTGTGGGCTTGCTCCTAAATAAATCATAGAGAGAAAGGAAAAATTACTGACATTTTTTTTTTCTGCCATTTCACTTCATGGCTATGTGGTCTAAACTGACCACGAAATGGGAGGTGTGAATCTGCTGTTCCTCCAATGGCCTCATTTCTCTTGTACATTCTCGCATTGTGAACTCTCTGAGTAAAATTCCAACCTTTAAAACAAACATTGTTTTGGCTGGGCACGGTGGCTCATGCTTGTAATGCCAGCACTTTGGGAGGCCGAGGCAGGCAGATCATGAGGTCAGGAGATTGACACCATCCTGGCCAACATGGTGAAACCCCATCTCTACTAAAAATACAAAAATTAGCCAGACATGGTGGTGCATGCCTGTAATCCCAGCTACTCGGGAGGCTGAGGAAGGAGAATCACTTGAACCAGGGAGTCAGGCTGCAGTGAGCCGAGACTGTGCCACTGCACTCCAGCCTGGCAACAGAGTGAGACTCCGTCTCAAAAACAAAAACAAAAAACATTGTTTTTCTACATAATGGCTCCAAATCTGAGCCAGCTGTTGCATCAGCTGAAACAAAACAAAAAACAGTGAACAAATCTCAGAGTGAGAAAATGCTATTTTTACCTCGGCCTCAGACCTTGGAACTCAACCTCATGGAAGATGTGACCTTGCTGTGCGTGTCTGGGAATTTGTGCTGTCAAGATGGCGTCTGAATTCATGAAAGGGGATTGGCTCTCTTGGGAAAAATGCATAGAGTAAGAAGACGAGAGGACCAAAGATGGACCCTCAGGGAGCGCCAGCATTTGGGATGTGGGCTGGAGAGGAGTTGCTCATAAAGGCCGAGGAGCAGAAGTCATCAGAAAGGTGGGAGGGATATCAGGAGTAACAAGAGTCCCCAAGGCCAAAGGAAAACAGAATGCCAAAGAGTGTCTTTGTAAATAACAGACAGGGTCTCACTCTGTTGCCCAAGCTGGAGTGCACTGATGCAATTATGCTTCACTGCAGCCCTGAACTCCTGGGCTCAAGCAATCCTCCTGCCTCAGCCTCCCAAGTAGCTGGGTCTACAGGTGCACATCACCAAACCTGGCTAATTTTTAAATTTTTTGTAGAGACAGGGGTCTTGCTATGTGCCCAGGCTGGTTCTAAATCTTGGCCTCAAGCAGTCCACCCTCCTCGGCCTCCCAAAGTGCTGGGATTACAGGTGTGAGCCAACACACCTAGCATTCAAATTTTGTTTTCAAAGGCTGAAAAAAGGGGTTACTGGGTTTGACAATAAAAAATATCATTTGTGAGTTTTAGGATAGCAATCTCAACAGAGGTGTAGATATAAAAATCAGATTTTAATGGAGTGAAAAAATTCAAGGAAGAGAGGGCTGTAAGAGGTTTGGTAATAAAGGCATGGCCCAAGATTAGATTGGGAATTAGCAGGTTCAAATCCTTGTTCCATAATTTTCCAGCTGTCGAACCATGCTTGGATTCAGTTTATAAATCTATAAAACAGTTTTAATAATCCCTGTCTCAGAGAGGTTTTTGAGGATGAAAAGAGAGGACAGTTGTGATTGTGTTGTAAAACCCAAACAACTAGGAATGAGTATAAACTATGGATTTTCCAGCCATTCTAAAATCTTCCTGAGGATACAAAGCAGAATCGCAGAGAGCTGGAACACATAATTCCACCTCCTCACAGAACTGCTGTTACTGGAATGGGCTTCGGTGATGATCCACCTAATGGTATGGGAAGCGGTTCTGTAAAACACTGGTTCATCTGCTGGAAAGATATCAGAGATGTTGTTTATGACATGACTCAGCCTCATCTCAAAGACAATGGCTGGGAGCATCCCCTCTGGTCTTGTGGACGAAAACAGTCCAACTCTGTAGAATATCTGAAGATGTTTATTCTGAGCCAAATATGAATGACCATGGCCCATGACACAGCCCTCAGGAGGTCCTGGGAATATGTGCCCAAGGTGGTCAGCGCACAGCTTGGTTTTGTACATTCTAGGGAGGCATGAGACATCAATTAAATACATTTGAGAAATACATCAGTTTGGTGGAAAAAGGCGGGACAATTCGAAAGGAATGGGGATGAGGGCTTCCAGGCTATAGATAAATGTAAATATTTTCTGGCTGCCGATTGGTTGAGTTTGTCTAAAGACCTAGGATCAATAGAAAGGAAATATTCAGGTTCAGATAAAAGACTGTGGAGACTGAGGTTCTTTCGAAGTCTCATAGTGGCTGCCTGCCCTTAGAGACAATAGATGACACCTGTTTCCTATTCAGACCTTTAGAAGGTGCTAGACTCTCAGTTAATCTCAGGATTGGGAGGGCCTGGAAGAAAAAGATATAGCTATGTTAATAGAGATTCTTTAGAGATGTAAATTTTCCCCCCCAGAAAGGACAGCTTTGCAGGGCCATTTCAAAATATGGCAAAGAAACATGTTTTGGGGTAAACTATTTTGATTTTCTTCTTTGCCACGTAATGTTATGCCAGATTCAGAAAGTAAGTTGCAATATGTAGGGTTAAATAAAAACCCATCTGATGAGAATTTATGGCTTGTAAGGCATGACTCCCCAGACCCCTTAGATAAGAACTGGGACAAGATAAGAAAAAATCAGAGCTTAGTCCTCAGTCTTAATACAAGGAATAATTGTGCTTCTCCTGAACAATTGGCCTGCTTTTATCTTGTGACTGACTGACCAAGTTTCCCTTTTGCAATGGTTGCTAGAAAATTGACAGTCAACCATGTGGCCCGCCCATTGTATGTACAAAAGACGCCATGGGGTGCTTTTTTTGTACTGGATTCTTCTCCAGTCCTCCTTAATGTTCCTACTTCTACTATTCTCATATATTAAATCTGTACCACACTATTTTATATATGCATTCTTACAAACAGTCTTAAATGTTTTCTGTTACAAGGGATGATATTGAAACCGCCTTTGGAAAATTATGACTGAGACAGTGAAAGAGATCTAACTTAACTGACTCCATCCTGCTTCTAACCTCCCAGCTGTCCTTATTCATTCCTGGGGGTAGGCTGAACTAACTTTGGGAGAAACTTAGTTTATAGTTTAAGTAAAGAGGGTAACAGCCCTTTCCCAAGCCCTTTCCTTCTTGCGTGGGGACTAGATTGCCTTTGTAGGACCAACATTAGCCACAAGATTAGAAATGACGGTTTAGGAGTCATGCAGCTGGAGGCTACAAGATTCTGACCCTCCCTCAACTGCTCCTAAGATCAGTGCTTGAGACATTTTGCAGACCCTGCACTTGATGGATCAGCTGGCACCACCCAGATCAATAAACTGGCTCATCTGCTCTTATGGCCCCCACCCAGGAACTGACTCAATGCAAGAAGACAGCTGACTCACCGCGATTTCATCTCTGACCAGTCTGCACTCCTGGCTCACTGGCTTACCCCCCTACCCACCAAGTTATCTTTCAAAACTCTGCTCCCCGAATGCTCGGGGAGATTGATTTGAGTAATAACAAAACTCTGGTCTCCCACACAGCTGGCTCTGTTTGAATTACTCTTTCTCTATTGCAATTCCCCTGTCTTGATGAATCAGCTCTGTCTAGGCAGCGGGCAAGGTGAACCCCTTGGGTGGTTACTATATAAATAATTGTTCTAGGCACAGTGTCTTGTTAACTTTTCATCCTCTATTTGATTTTTATGTGTGTATCAATACATCTCCAGTCTTTCTAGACACTCCGTGAAACTGAAACTGTCATGCCCTTGTGTACCTTCCTAAACATGAGAGCTCATGACAACAGCTAACACAACCTTCTCTAGGGACAGATAGAAATGCTTTATGTGTGGAGATGTTTATGGATTCATTGAGTCACAACCATCTTTTTGTATTTACTTCACAGATAAGAAAACTGAGTCACATCGAGGTTCAGTACCTTCAAAGCCACGTAAATAGTAAGGAATGGATCTAAGATTAAAAACCCAATCGCCCAGCGCCAGAGTCTGTGCCACCAGATGTACCACCTCTCTACAAACTCATGAAAACTCTGGGATACAACTGCTTCAGTATTTTGGCTTGCTTGCTTTGTAAGACATTAGCAAGGAGGGCCGGGAAGGCTTTCTTGTTAATATAATATCTTACAACTTCTGTGAGGAGGTAGAATTATTTGTTCTA